GAGCCTGCCGGGAGGGGACGGTCGGTGCCCGCCTGGGGCCACGGTGCCTCGGCGCTGCCTCAGGGCCTTTGGCACCTCGCCCTCTGGGCACGACTTGTCTCCAGACACACAGCGAAGCCACCGCCGGCACCACAGCCTGGAGCCAAGAACTCGTGCAACCTGGAGTTCTGTGCCACGGATGGGGCAGGGATCCTGCCTGCACCAGGGAACCACAGCACCGCTCCCTCTAATGCACGCTGTGCTCTCCAGGACCACCACCAGCCCCAACTGGGGTTATGGGTCCCACTCCCACCTGTGCTGGATGAAGCCCACTGCAGTTGCAGCACCAGCGAAGCCTCAGCAGCCCTCAAGCCCCCCAACACACAAGAAGAGGCAAGCTCTGCTCCCACGTCAGTCTTCCCACTGCCCTGGCCCTGCTGGGTCTGCGCAGGAGCAGCACGGAGGCACCAAGCCGTGCCGCAGCAGCACTTCCCTGTACCTGACTTAGCCAGGCCATAAACCTCCGCGGCTGCTGGTGAGATGCAGTCCGTCACCAACGGCACCACAACGCCCGGCGGCAGCTTTTCCATCAAGAAGCGATACGCTTCCTCCAGGTCCTGCTCCGACTCCGAATCCAGTGTCAGCTTCACACGGTAATAGTTGTTGGCCCAGTCCGGGTAGGAACCCAAACTGACGCGGCCCTGGAAGGTGGCGTCAGCCTGGTCCAGCACAGGCGTGATAAGGATCTCATCAGCCGCCACGTAGATGGTGCGGGAGTGGAAGCGAGTCTGTTCGCTGCGGAAGAGGTGGGAAAGGCCGTCCAGGGCACGTTCCATCAGCGCCGGGATACCGGGGAAGATGTAGACGTTCCGCACACTGACCAGTGGGTACTTGAAGGTGCCGCCCGTGCGCATGTCCGTGCCGTAGTTGAGGCAGGAGGACTCGGGGACACGAGCCAGCTTCATCTCGGGGCACTGCACCTCTGTCTTGCCAAAGAACTTGTGCACCAGGGCCACCAGCTCGGGGTGAGGGGCCACCTTCTCCCCGAGGGCCATGGCCACGGCCTCGAAGGTGACATCGTCGTGCGTGGGGCCGATGCCCCCCGAGGTCAGCACGTAGGTGAAGCGGGAGGCGAAGGCGGCCACCTCGCCGGCGATGGCGTCCACCTCGTCGGGAACCACCGAGATCCGGGCCACCTTCACGCCCAGGGCCCGCAGCCGCCGGCACATGAAGAAGGAGTTCGTGTCCTGAGTGTGGCCCTGAGGGGACGGGGACACCCGTGACGGCGGAGCGCCTCGGGCCCGCCAGGCCCCGACCCCC